CTAATTGCAGGGTCTGGGCTTGGCCAGTCGCGGTGTATGGCCAGTCGCGCTGTCTTACACCGCGAATGTTGGCCTTATGCGAGTGTTCCCTGTAGACAGTCCTGGAGTCATTTTTTTGCACATTCGCACATTCCAGGAGCCTGATGTGCATCTAAGGGTGGGTACTAGTTCAGTCGGACCGGTTTGGACCGGAACAACATACAAGAACCGAGTCCAAAAAACTGAAAGGGGAGAATCGGATGATTGGACCTGATGTACATTTCTGTAGATTGTACACAGAATACACACATCTGTGGGAAATCCGTGGACGACCCAGAAATCTAGCGGACACCGGCATGGGGTGCTTGGAACGACATCGATCGTCCATAGCATGTTTAGATAAGAATACGGACAATTGGAAATAAAGTTAAACTTCAATAAATGGACATATTTCCTGTGACTATCGTCGATATGGTCACCAAGTTTCGGTAAAGGAAGAAGTCAAGTCAAGCACACAGTAACAGTTACAGGCAATGACGCCCGGCGCTGATCATGCATTTCTGTGTGCGATATAAGCGCTAGAATGCTATTTTCCAGAACCACACATCGATATTCTAGTGGAGAAATGCATTGTTTCAAGATTCTATGGAGAAGATACATGCTTCTATGCGTATTTTTTTTAGCATTTTCGACGTGATTTTGTCGTCACTTAACCCGGAGGTGGGACAGCGGCGTGGTGCTGTTCGGGGCGGTAAATATGGTCGTCTGTCAGGCTTGTTTCGTGATTATTGTCGGGGGAAACCTTAATATTATAATGTTCGCACCCCGACTTTGGCCTGGGGGCGTCTACTTGAGAGTTGAAATGTAAAAGGAAGTGGGAGCAGTAATGGATTTAGTTTTGTTTTATGTTTTATGCTTGTGACGCGCCCTCATTGTATTAACCGTTGCCTAATTACAATGTCTGCACAGTAGGTCTGGCGTTGACCCTTGGGATTGTATTTGTTGAAATATATAAATCTTCACGGAGGATTGTCACCTATGGCTTCTTGTTCTAGTTTACAGCTTCTGTTGAGAACATTCAAATTGCGTGACTTCTTAGAGAATCGTCTATTTATAATAATAGACCTTAAAACCTGACAACATAATCGAAATCGTCAACCGCACCTTCAATGTTCCGACATATGTAAAAAGATATTTTCAATTCCTCAACATTAAACGCATTGTGCTGGTGACTCTTGCACGAGAAAAGGCCACAAATCCACCGTTGCTAAGCAATTACTCTACGCATACATATCAAAACAGACATAAATGGTCATTGATGGGGAATTGCCCGGAACCTGTACTATCTCAATTGTCGTTCAAACGTTCAATTTCACAATTAAAAAAAAAACATACTGTTGGACAAATTTGTATTCATTACCCTTTACAAGCCCCTTGGCCTTGTTGTGTAAATGCTAGAAATACTCCATGTCAGACATGAGGATGTCACGCAATGCTCTCGAAACATACAAAATGAAATTAAAAGCAAATTAAGTAAAGTAGCCTGAAATTAAATAATTCACAAAACCAGTGTGATGATGTATCTACATGTAAGTTATGCGTATTCAAATACAGCCAGTTACTCTAAGTAACCGGGTTGCTCATCTGTTACAAGTACGAGTAACCATATAAATGCTCCTCCGTGTCTCATACAATTTTCATCGCTAACAAAGTGTTTTGTTGTAACCACTTTTCCATCTAATCGTTCGATCTCACGTTCCACTTTTCTTTGTTGTTGTTGAATAAGAATGCCTGGTGTAAAGGTGGCTATCAGCTATATGGACCACGGTCGTGACACTCGGTCAAGTTCAACAACCTTTACAGTTTTGTCGCTTTAACTTCTTGTTTCTCACGCTATATGCCCTTGAGATTATAACTCTTGAAAAGTGCTCATTTATCGTGAATGTCGTAAATGGGAAGATTATGGCATCTTGAATAGCTCAGCTGTGAAGGCTGAGGTATAAAGAAGGGAGGAGTCAGTGCCGATCGCACTGGAGATAGTTGGACACCTGCCTGTCCGTCTCAACCGTCAAAGGGTCGGTTTGGGTGATTTTGAAAGGTGGGTGAAATCTCCGTTCCGTTACTTTAACTACTCCGCGGCTGCAGTTTATTTATGTATCTTCTACGTACCTTCTACGCGATGTAAATTTCTGCTTAATATGTTAGTTTCTCATTTCATTTGTTATCAAGTTCAATCAATGTACATGTACTTGCCTTGTACTCAATTCCAAATATGTTTCATCTTTTTATTTCATATTCACTAATACATACAATGAGAAACGATTACAGTATTTTTATGGTGTTCTTGAAGATGGCTTTCTTGTGTCAAACTTTCAAAATTTCTCTTTGATTGGGCAATGTATACGACTAAAAAGCAGGCTTAAATGTCAATGTTTATCTACTGGTTTTGTCTTTACCCCAAGGTCTGTACTTCAAGCTCACCTGTCCAAATTAGTTTTGCTATGGGAACCACGAAGGCAAGTAACCTTTGTTGTTCTAGTCTTCATATTATCTGTTTCTCATAACAAGAATTCCACAAATGTTCTAAGAAAAAACTTGCACGATCAAACTTTCCTTGTACAATAATGACTAATGTGAAAATTCAGAAGATACGAATGTCTGTCTTTGATGCCACTACCATACCCGCTACATGTCCAACATGAATGCATGTACCTTCTAATACATCTTGTACACAGTATATGTAAACGTTATTAGCCCTACATTTAGGTTCATCTATACCAACAACAAGAACTACGTTCAGAGTAGATTTGCCTATTTATCACAAGCAAATAGTTATTGCTTACGTGCCCTTTTCTCCATTTTCAGGTCAACGTCTGTCTCATTGCTTTATTGTTGACAATCTTAAAAGGTGAGGTTATGCCTGAAGAAGCCTGATGTTTCATTTTAATTGTGTAAGATGATAAAATTTTGTTGCCCTTTCTACAGATCAAGTGCCTAACATTTTATTATTTGTCAAGTTGAAGCTTTAAATTGTGTCATTTCTTCATTGTTTAATCTATCATGTCTATTGTTTCAAATAAAGGTACAGACATCGTCTCAGGCTACCCGAGCATCACAATAGAGTAAGTTATAATTCCGTACCTCTTAACGTTCATTACATAGTACCACTAACTTTGAACATTGTCCTCTATGGATCAATGTCCTCTATACTTGTCCCATATAGTATATCTACATGTATTATATAGATGGCTAGACATCTTATGGTTTCCACACTTACATTAATATCATCAACATTATGGTGATGGTAATGATATTGAGGAATATCCGATTATTGTCTGTAAAGTATACAACACAGATGAAAAATTGCTTGAGGAATAGTGGGGGTTATAAGTGTATATACTTTGTCTTTATAATGAGCAAATTAATGAAAGTTAGCTTAACATTTTCTTGTGGATGTAACACACCTATATATATATATCGGAAGATTCATTCTTCTCTTCTTGTGTTGGCTTTCACTTCGTATCATCTGCAAGCACGTAACGTTACCGGAGTGCGTGTACGCGGCAGTATGGGCCATCCGCCTGACTGATGTATATGCGAACAGGACCGTACATTTGTTAAGTTCGATTCACTAGCCATGTTCAGACTCTCAACGGAGACAGAAGAAGTCAGTGTCTTAATTGAAACGTATGATTGAATATCGTTATCGTCATCACTTAAATTACGTTCTTTATAATACGTTTTAATCTGTATGTACATTCCCCAGGTGTGTCCAAAACTGCGCTTCCCTCCTGGACATCACCGCGGTGTTCGGGATCAGGGCCGTGTGTTCCGACTGCCGGGACCCGCTCAGAGAGCTGACGTTCGCCTGGCACATGTACGAGCACGACCTGAGAACCGACACAAGCAAGGAGATCGCCGATCTGTCCACCATTCGGGTTCAACGTACGGTATTCCTCTTGTGGAGTTTTTGAACGAACGAACGAACGAACGAATGAATGAATGAATGAATGAATGAATGGTTCAACCAACTCACAGATCACAATTCAATTCAATATATTTAACGTATCAATATTGCAGACAAAAAGTAGCATGAATGGCACTGATATTTACAAATTATATTGATAGATATTTAAAACACATATGCATACACTGACTTGGCAGTTCCAATTTTTCCAAGAAATTAAATTTTTGAACACCTGTTATATATGCGCTACTAAGTTTCCTCACAGCTCCCGTACAGGCTGCGCAAATTATCGCGAGCCGTCGCGATAGAATTGTGGTCGGTCTGCCGTTCGTACAGGTCGCTCCTGAACGTTTCCTCCCGGTTCTCTTCTATTGCGCAGTGATTTGTCAGACAACTACGTGCACGCTCATTTGTGCTGTGATTAAAATCAGTACCTTGTTGGTATAGCGTATTTGCCGCTGCTATGGCATAAGGCATTTCTTCTTCACCGGCCTCGGCATTTCCCATTTGAGATTCGGATTCTCCATGTATCAGGGTTGTATTTGCGTCAGTACTTTGTTGGTATAGCGTATTTGCCGCTGCTATGCCATAAGGCATTTCTTCTTCACCGGCCCCGGCATTCTCCATTTGAGAGTCAGATTCTCCATGTACCAGGGTTGAATTTGCATCCTCCTCCTGACTTGGGTTGACATCATCGTCACAGCTAGGTAGAGGGGGCGGCGCTGCAGAGGCGTAATTATGATATTGGACCTCCTCATCAACATCCGAGGCGTCATCGTTGTCATAGTGGTGAACCTGCGCTTCTGTAGTACCGGCCGTATGCGCTGGGAGCGCTTCTGTCACGCGGTGGGATATGTGTCGTGCTGTTTCAACAGCGGGCCGACATTCTTGTAGTCGCAGTCGTCGGAGAGGGAAGGTATTCGGGTCCTCTTCCATTGATCGTTCTGCAAAATCGATATCTGGCACGTTGTGACGAGAGATACAGACAGCCATGGCCTGTACACTCATGTGCAATGCTGCACTAGCGATGTGATGGCTGTTCACTCGACTCGTGTTTCGTTTTCTCCGACTGAAGAAGACGACAGGAAAGAACGCCAAAAGGACGGCGGCGATAGCAATAGCAATGGTGGACAAGACGACGGTGTTGGATGTAGTTTTTTTCTGTGAGTTATCGTTTACAAACACACAGACATTTTTGCTAGATGACGGCAAATGAGACCAGTATGGACAACAGGATATGTTCGTTGAACCATTACACGTGCCCGTGTCGTTTTTATCGTCTGTGTCGTCTGGTGGTGACTTAGTCGTGTGTTGCCATTGCTGTTTCTCGTCGGGTTCTGTTGGGTTCAAACACAAAAGCAGATCAAACCGTAGGGTCCTTTTGCCGTTTTCCATGTCGAATCCACATGTGTACACACCCGAGTTTTCAGCGGTAAAGTTTTTAATTGTGACCTCTTGTGTCAGAGATTTAAAAACGTGGCGCCCTGTCGGGGTGATCCAGTAGTAACCACTAGCAAAGCGCCTGGCTAAGGGCAACGGTAACGTTATGTCGGAATGTTCACTTGGGTAGGAGATGGCGGGGAATAGACCGAAGTATTTTGAACGGCTTTTGATAAGGATGAATTTTTTCACGAAAAGGCGGCCACGTTTGATGTCTATTTGGTACGGTGTCATTTTCCCGCGCGGCCCCGTGTTCAAGGCGTCCGGGCCCCGCGTGTTCAAGGCGTCGGGGCCGCGTGCCTCTGGGCACCGCAATGGGTTTCCTTGTAACTCGTAGGAGGCCAACGGGCGTGCCGTGTTTATATCTCTGGGTATCGTACTGATGTTGTTCACTCTGAGAATGACGAAAGACAGTTGCTTGCTAGGAATCCGCCTGACGGCCAGCATGGGAACTGCATTGAGACGGTTTCCAGACAGTTCGAGAAACTCCAGACTCTCCAGGCCGTGGAACGCGCGCTCTGATATACTAGAGATGAAGTTGTTTGAGAGAAAGAGATCCAGTAGAGCGTGCAGTGTAGAAAAGATGAAGTCACGAAGGGAACCGATGCGATTTCTGTCCAGATCCAGAAATAGTAGTTTACGCAGACTTTGGAAGGTTTTAGGAAATATATCTTTCACCCTGTTGTTGTAGATGAGTAGGTACCGTATGTTTGGAGTTGTGTCGAAAGTGCCGAGGTCGGTTATTATGTTGTCTGACAATTTTACAGTATGGGCGTCTGGCATGATTGAGTCTATAGGGACGTATGTTAGGTTATGTCCTGTATAATCAACGGATTTCCCAACAGTAGTATTTATCAGCAAAGCCAAAACAACGACAAAAGTCACAAATTCCATTTGGCTTCGCGTCGTCACACTCGGAATCCAGAATCTTTCTATGACAAGAAATAATAAAAAAAGTAAATATCCGCAGGCGGATTGAAATTTAAAAAAATAAAATAGATCTACTCTCCAGTGATTTCTTTCATCATGTCTTCTATCAAATCTACCGGTATAAAGCTTATTTTGCAATAACTATACATGTTGCTGTGTTCGATTGATTGATTCATTCATTCTGTTATCTATTTGAACGTAATAGCAATAAAATGTACGTTAACAACATGCTGAGTGCTGATGCAAAGTGCTGAGGAGGAAAAGAAACTAACGGGGCTGCAATTGTGATTTGACTTCCTCATCTAGTGGAAACAACTCAACTGATACATCAATCTAATATATAAATGAACAGAATCATGATAGTACGAAACTAATAATAGGGTAAAGAACAAAATTTTCAACATAAATAAAGAACATAGAAGCTATATTACACCATAACATTTACACGGTGTTGAGATATTTTCGTTTAATTTTCTGATTTGCAGGTTTCCAGAATAGAGCAAAATAATCAATCCATCTGTAAGCTTCGTGTACTTACCGATTTTGAAGAATTCAGAGGTTGTTCTGGCGCTGGTACTGACTCTCACAGCTCGCTGGTGTGTGGTGTGTCTGTCGCTGTACTGACTCTCACAGCTCGCTGGTGTGTGGTGTGTCTGCGGCTGGTACTGACTCTCACAACTCGCTGGTGTGTGGTGTGTCTGGCGCTGGTACTGACTCTCACAGCTCGCTGGTGTGTGGTGTGTCTGTCGCTGTACTGACTCTCACAGCTCGCTGGTGTGTCTGTCGCTGTACTGACTCTCACAGCTCGCTGGTGTGTGTCTAGCGCTGGTACTGTCCCTCACAGCTCGCTGGTGTGTGGTGTGTCTGCGGCTGGTACTGACTCTCACAGCTCTCTGGTGTGTCTGTCGCTGTAGTGACTCTCACAGCTCGCTGGTATGTCTGTCGCTGTACTGACTCTCACAGCTCGCTGGTGTGTGGTGTGTCTGTCGCTGTACTGACTCTCACAGCTCGCTGGTGTGTGGTGTCGCTGTAGCTGGTACTGTCCCTCACAGCTCGCTGGTGTGTGGTGTGTCTGCGGCTGGTACTGACTCTCACAGCTCGCTGGTGTGTCTGTCGCTGGTACTGAATCTCACAGCTCGCTGGTGTGTCTGTCGCTGGTACTGAATCTCACAGCTCGCTGGTGTGTGGTGTGTCTGTCGCTGTACTGACTCTCACAGCTCGCTGGTGTGTGGTGTCGCTGGTACTGTCCCTCACAGCTCGCTGGTGTGTGGTGTCGTTGGCGCTGGTACTGACTCTCACAGCTCGCTGGTGTGTGGTGTGTCTGTCGCTGTACTGACTCTCACAGCTCGCTGGTGTGTGGTGCTGTATTGGTCTGGATGAAAATAGCTCATCTAGTGAATATGATGGCACGTTTGCAAGTAGCCAACTCTTGTCATTGGTCAGAAGCGATTGTCTCTTGTTTTTACCGAGTTTTGTCCTTGATTATTTGGTCTCATGTAAAGTAGGTTTCTTTTTCTGGTAACATAAATGCAACTGGGTCAGGGATTCGTGTCTTGAATATGTATGCTTTGGATAATGGTTGAAGCTGACGACGACGAAACGTTAACAGCTTATTTGTTTTATAGTATCATTTTCCTACCGAGGAAGACGATTACTCGCCAGAGTTTGGTATTTTACAAACTGAGAAGGAGAGATATGCACATGGCATGCTGCATTGCATCATATGATGTCCGTCTTTCTGGTGCAAGGATGATCATATGAACAGGGTGTCCATCACATAATCATGCACACATACCTGGACACGGACGATTGTCTGTAAAAACAAGGACATTCTACAAGAGGCCTCTTGTAGAATGACCTTGGTAAAACGGTCGATATTGCATCTCACGGAGGTTTGAGTTTTTGTGTTTTGTTACAGTTACCTTAAACTTGTTTTGGAAGGAATGGAAAGCATATTGTGACGATTTCATTTGGAATCAAGCATCCAGCCAAATGAATCTCAGCTACCACACACAAGCCACCTTACATATGCACTATTCCTTCGATAGTACTTCTTGAAAAAAAGCGAAAGTAGCTTCTCCCCCCCCCCTTTATCAACTCTCTTGTTGTATCTTTGTTTCTAGAACGTGTCAAGTGTATAGCGTGTAAATAGTATTCTAGTAATTCCCTACTGTTTCGTGGGTGGTGGTGCTCAAATATTGTTTAAAACTGTCCGACAATGTAGCGAAACAAGGCTATTCATGCGCCAGGTAGGCTCAGTCTAATATTGTTTGAACTCTTAGGATTACAACCTAACGAGCTGGGGATACTGGCTGGAAACCTTCAAGCCGGGAAAAGGTACAAGTGGATTGTTGACGCCGTGCCCAACAATCTCAGACCCACGGTTTCTGTTGAGTATGAGGCGGCTACGGCGTACAAGTACAATATGTCCTGCACCGCGGCTCCAACTCTAGGTATCGTATTGTCCATCTAACCCACCAAGCAGATGTGGCTCCGTCTCAGTGTTTTACCTGAGTGTGTTTTGTAACGCTAAATACTGTTTTGATATTGTAACCAACCGATTCATCTTCTTGAAGATTTTCTGTCCTCACACATGCATTGCACATGTCGATGCCTTCATAGGTATCTTTTTTTGCACATTCAATACACCAATCCTGACTGCTCTTAACAAATACACTTCAACCACTGATAGCATGGAAATAACGTTCACCAATTAATGAGAAAGTAGTTACAGGTTCAGCAAATATCTGCATTTTTTATGTTTTCGTTTTGCGTTTCTACGTTTGGACAGAGGCGGGGCTTTGCGTTTTAATGAGTTGTACCTTGTTGTTGTATAGGTTTCTCGTGGCAGACAAACTTCGCCATCACCGC